ATGTCTAGGATAACATAGCATCACCTGATATCTTCAAGGAGGGTGGAAGAAGCTCCAGGTCCTGACACCAGACACTCTAAGATGCAGATAAACACTTAGTTGAAGAAATCTCTCAGTGCTTCATGATATCTAGCATGTTCATGTTATTAAAAAAACACTGTTTTTGATTAGAGTAACTCTTACTGGCATTGTCCTCCCCCTAAAAAAAAATTTAAATATGAAGGAAAACACACCTGCGATTCCACTCTGAGTCCAAGGTCTTCCTACAGCTGGATCCGTACTGATCACATCACTCCCACTCGCTGCATGGGGAGGGAGGTCACAGAAGTTGGACCAGGGGAGGACTTGGGTGTCATGGAGGGGAAACAGTGTCTTGCCACTCTTGGTGTTCTGCAATCACCATGATAATACACAGATTCAACATTAGTCAGCCTGGTGACCTCTTGCACCACTAGCTATATTGCTATATGTATAGTATTACAAACGGAAATCTGCCATACAGACTTCAAGCACCAAATTAGTTAAATGGTCATGATTCTTGGAGTAACGTTTCAACTCCCTCCTGAAAGGCATGACACCTGCTAGGAGTTTTATAACTCTGCATGGACTGAGGACTCGATCTCTACTAATTACTTGTAATGAGATGTGAATTATTTTGTTATATATTTATAATAGTTTAAGGTCTCTATAGTCTCCTAAACAACTTTAGCTTAAGGGACACTCCAGGCACCCAGAAAACTTCTGCCAATTGGAGTGGTCTGGATGCCAACTCCCACTACCCTCAACCCTGCAACTGTAAATATTGCAGTTTTCATAAACTGCAATATTCACCTTGCAGGTTTAACTCCTCCTCTAGTGGCTGTCTACTAGACAGCCACTAGAGGGCACTTCCGGGTTTATAGCACACATTTTGTGTGCTATAGCGTCGCTAGACGTCCTCACGCTATGTGAGGACCTCCATCGTCGCTGAAATCCCCATGGGAAAGCAATGAAAGCATTTTCAATGATTTCCTATAGGGAGGTCTAATGCGCGTGCGCGGCATTGCCACGCATGCGTATTAGGTCTCCCCCGTCGCCGGACGGCAATGCGCAATAGGTCTCCCCCGACGGATGACATCGGCGGGGGAGGAGCGTGGGTGGACCCTGAACCAGCACCGAGGGACATCGGCGCTGGATACAGGTAAGTCACTGAAGGGTTTTAACCCCTTTAGCAACTTGGCATGGGGAGTGGGAGGGAGAGGGGACCTGCAGTGCCAGGAAAACGGTTTGTTTTCCTGGCAATGGAGAGTCCCTTTAATGAAGCAGTTTTAGTGTATAGATCATGCCTCTCAGGTTTTAGTGCTCAATTCACTGCCATTTAGGAGTTAAATCACTTTGTTTCTGTTTATGCAGCCCTAGTCACACCTCCCCTGGCTCTTATTGACAAAGCCTGCATGAAAACAAAAACTGGTTCCACTTTCAATCAGATGTAATTTGCCTTAAACAATTTTATCTCTTGCTCTGTAAATTGAACTTTAAACACAGGAGGCTCTTGCAGGCTCTAGCAAGCTATTAACATAGCAGGGGATAAGACAATCTAAATTAAACAGAACTTGCAATAAAGGAAGGATAAACATTAGAGGACTCTACAGGAAGTGTCTATAGAAGGCTGTGCAAGTCACATGCAGGGAGGTGTGACTAGGGTTCATAAACAAAGTGATTTAACTCCTAAATGGCAGAAAATTGAGCAGTGAGACTACAAGGGCATGTTCTATACACCAAAACTGCTTCATTAAGCTAAAGTTGTTTTGGTGACTATAGTGTCCCTTTAATAACTCTTGTTAGTTCCCCTCCTGGGTTTTATCTATAGAGCATGCATAATATGGAGCTCTTGGACCAGGGGTTACCAACCTAGTCCTCAAGTACCCCCTACCAGTCCAGGATTTAGGGATTACCCTGTTGTGTCTAAAGTGTTTTCCATTTTTTCTCTAAAACACCTTAGCCACCATTGAGTAATCCCTAAATCCTGGACTGTTAGGGGGTACTTGAGGACTGGGTTTGGAACCCCTGTGTTAGACCATCCTATAATGGACATCTAAAACCATCGTACAGTGGATTATTGAAATGCTGGAGCTGGTGCAACACATCAGAATTCATGCACACATGATCTGGATTATGAGCACAATTGCTGGTCAGGTTTTGTACAGACATAAAAAAAAAAGTGAATTGGGGTCACACCCAGAACATGCATTACCAAGCAGTTGTGCTGCAATAAAGACCAAAACATACACAAAACACACTTAATGAAGCAGCGCACACACAAACAAAAATGCTGCTTTACATTTAACAAGGCTAATTCAAATCACCCATCTTAGCAAATAAATAAGGGGGTTCAGTTTCATCATATGGCCATATCGTGTTAAACCCACTACTATGTCACAGTACCCCAATATCAGTGGGTCCTACACTAATTTTAACATGGGAGATTTACATGATAACAGCAATACTTACTTGCAGGAGAAACTGCTTCCAGAGACTCCTCAATTTAAGCTTTCCTGTGGTCACCTACAAAGGAGGCACCCATAGTGGATGGGTGGGGAGCTCAGCCAAATAGGAATCAGGTCTGGATTCCAAATCTATAATATTGAAAGGAGGAGCACAACCGCTAAAAAATACAAAAAGTCTCAATTATACAAAAAAACATAAAACAGGTATCAACAAAGACATCTAAAAGTGTCAAAATATTCAGACGTCTCTGTCAAATAAACAAGCAATAACTATAAGCAAAGAAAAAATAGAAAAACAGATTATGATCTAAAAGATCCAATTAGCGTGGTATAACCACTTCTACACAAAGAAAAAAAACATTATTATGATACCTGTATATAATAGTGAGCAAACAGATACATACCAAAAAACAAGAAGTATGAGAAGAGGGTACAGACGTCAAATAGAAAATAGCCCCCAACGTTTTCGGCGTTATCCGCCTTTATCAAGGGGATTCCAAATCTACACAAAAAAACAATGGGAATTGGGGGCACACCCAGCACATTTGGAGGTGACCAAAGAAAGCTTAATATTGCTGATATTGGGGTACTGTGATGTAATTAGTGTAGGACCCACCAATATTGGGGTACTGTGACGTAATTAGTGTAGGACCCACCAATATTGGGGTGCTGTGAAGTAGTGGTGGGCTTAACACAATATGGCCATATGGTGGAACTGAATATTTAGGAGATAGGTGATTTTAAGGAGCCTTGTTAAATGTAAAGTTGTATTTTTGTTTGTGTGTGTGCGCTGTAACTTTAACTGTATTTTGTGTAGATAGAACCAGAAACTGGAGTCTTCAGGGGTGCAGAATCCCCCGACCGTAACCAGCAAATAAGCAGTATGTAGTTTGTATCATTGGGGTGCTGGATGTCCCCCTTTAAAATCCAATCATCCACTTTTGTAACATCAGAAGAAAGCATTTGTGTTCCCCACACTGTGCAATGACGGCAGCAATGGGAAACAGATTTGTAAGCAAACGTCTTTTATTTAGTATCACTGGCCGCGGTACCTGTCACTGTAATATGATAAATCAGACACTAGATGGCACTCTGAGTCTATTTGCCATTATTTCAGATTCTACAAATATATATATATATTCAATATAATAATTTTTATTGTTGTATGTCATTTTGCATGGGTACAGAAAAAGAAGTATGGGGTGGTTAGTGGGGGTAAATGGTAGATTGATACACATTGCACAGACATCAGTGTAGTACGTCACACATGTATACAGCAATAGGTCATCATCATGGTTACAAATCAGTCTAGTAGGTTTGCCAGCGTAGACCTCTCTTAGATGTTACTACATGTCATACAATGAGTTACACAATCAGCACGGAGCTGGGGGGTTAAGGGGGTGGAGGGTTAACTTATGTACAAGTGGATTACGGTGTATTGTATGCTGGCTAATGGTAGTAGACAGTATTACGTCCGATCGGAGGTGACGATTTCGGCTTTGCATCTCCAACACTTGTTGGATGTGCCATGGTAAATATGTGCCAGCCTCGTCGGGGCCAAGTATCACCTGTATTGTAGTTTCCGTATTTGTTTAAGGTGTGTGATGCATTCCGTGTTTCCTTTGTGTATTGTGAATGTTCGTCTCCACTGACCTGTAGAGAAGGTGGTGTCAGGATTACTGTTTGATCCAGCACGTAGAACTGTACAGCACGGATGACAAATAAGTAAAGTATTACCGGTCCTTAGAATGGCCGGATTTAACGTACAAAGAATAGTCAAAAATACTAGCCGAGGTCAGGGAACACAGAAAGGGACACAGCGATGAGGAAAGCCAGGAGTCAGGATACCAGAATATAGAGAAGTCAATAAACAAAGCCAAAGTCAAAAAACCAGGTAGAAAACTATAAACAGGAACGCGCTCTCAGACAACCACAAGGGAAACCACGACAGGGCACTGAGCAGGCTGAGAACTGGGCCTAAATACCCCTCCTTTAGTTCTGATAGGCTGTAACCGGCCTTTGACCCCAAAGTCAGTTACCAGGTTTCATTTGCACAATTGCTGCTCAGCATTAACCCTTCTGTGGATTAGGTTGCTACTTGGCACAACTTTTCCTGTGTGGACAGTAAATGTCATTAACCACATTTCTATAAGCGGATGAATATGTGACAGGTGGAGCCATGATTGTCCTGCCATGCTTGCAGGTATCAGTATCCTCCCCCCCCCCATCTTGGCGTTTAGATATGCTATCTTTTGTGCCTGTTGTTTCTTTTGTAGCCGAAGTGCTAATAATTTACATGCCTGGTTTCCCTGGGAATAGTGAGCCGCTTTGTTTCCTCAGATGGGATCCCACTTTAAGAAGCGCGTTTTGGTGTAAAAGAGATAT